GTGAAAGTGGAAGCAGAAAAGTGTCCTGTGGTCTGACAAATCAACATTTGAAATTCGTTTTTGGAAATCATGGAGACTGTGTCCTCCGGGCTAAAGACCACTCAGCTTGTTTTCAGCAACAGTTCAAAAGCCAGTATTCATGATGGTATAGGGGTGCATTAGTGCACATGGTATGGGTGACGTGCACATCTGTGAAGGTACCATTAATGCTGAATGATATATATACATGTTTTGGCAACATATGCTGCCATCCAGATGACGTCTTCTTCAGTGATGGCCTTGCTTATTTCAGCAAGACAATGCCAAACCACACACTGCATGTTTAACAACAGCATGGCTCCGTATTAAAAGAGTCTGGGTGCTGAGCATCAGAGCAGAGCATCAGACACTGCTGCTAAGCTGTTTTGTTTTTAGCCTAGTTTTTAGCTTTTCTAGCCCAACTGGGCAACCCAGCTTTTGTTTTATACCTTTTTTAAGCCTTGTTTTAAGTGATAAATTTGAGACCCTGCACTGACTAACCTAAACTACGGACTGCTTGTTTTATTTTATTTTAATCCACGAGTTGTTTTTGGACCATGCCTCCCCTCAGCTGTCAAAGCAGGATGTGATGGCTGTGCGAGGCTGAGCTAGAAGATGTGTGAACTTGATAGAAGAATCTCTGTGCTCTACCAGATCAAAGATGATGAGGATCTACTCAACTCCCTGCTGGATACAACGCAGGTGATCAGCACTGGGCTAGACGGCAATCTTCCTCGAGCAGCTGCTACAGCTGTCCAGCACGAGGATCACTGGCCTCATCTAGGAGCTAAACCCAAGGCCAGGGAGGTGTGCTGCTCCACACCGCGTCAGGCTGTGCCATGGTCCATTGCAGGTGGGGGTTTGTGTGGTGGTAGGCGCTCCGCCCGCCACCCGATACCACGAAAGGTTCACCTGAGCAACAGATTCTCTGTGTTGAATGAGCTGGAAGACACCACTTTTGATAACAAACAATCATCAGTGCAGAACATCTGAATGAGCTCTCCAGCCATAAACTTCACCCCTGCCCCATCCGGGAACCCCACTGTGCAGCAGACCCGCCACTCCACCTCTCAGCTGGACGAGGCCGGACACTCAAACCGCTGCCTACCTCCCCAGGCCATCTCCACCTTCACACGGCCACCCTGCCATGCTCCCTCACAGCTCCCACATGGATAGCCTGACCGCCGATCCCTGCACCAGAATTCTGCCGCGCTGACCACATGTCTCCCGCCACTGCTGGTTACCGAACCATGAACCCATCGTCCATCCCCGCCTCAGCTTCGAACAACCCGCAACCCTCCTCCATCTACGCTGATAGTAGGTGACTCAATCATCAGAAACGTTAAGCACCATACAGCCGTAGTTCACTCTATCTTTGGTGCAAAAATCTCTAACATTACACAGCAGCTCCCCAGTCTTCTAAAGAAATACCACACAGTGAAGAAGATAGTAATACTTGTGGGATGTAACGATATCAGAAATCAGAACACAGAACTGCTGAAAAAGGACTTCACAATTTTTAGGTATTTTTATTATCAATGTTTCACTATTTTAAACTTACCTGATTTGAGTCATTTTTAAATAAAATTTACTTTTATTATTTTATATGTTCTTAACATTATCAATCCCTTGTTCTGTATCAACTCTGCAACATTGTAAATGAGGGTCACCCTCAATGTTGTCCGAGATTAAATAAAGGTTGATTGATTGATTGATTGATTGATGCTTTTGTGCTGCATCTTTTCCAAAGCCTGGTTTGCAGCTTCCTGTCGACATTGATGCTGCTGCCATATGGGTATAGCTTCCTCTGTGTCAATGTCATGCTGCACTAGATGAGCCTGCTCCAGCTCCTCCTCATTCAATGCAAAGCAGTCCTGAAACTCCACCAAGGTCTGCCAGAGTCTCTCCTGCTGCTGTTTGTCCATCTCACTGACACTTTTTTGCCAGATGTCCCTCATGGCTGCCATTCTACTCTCCTCTCTGCAAGGTGGAGCATCTGGTCAGACCTGGTTCAGTAGTGCATGGGATGCTGGGCTCACAGTGTGTTCTGGAGAGGGGGAAGCTCTTGTGGGCAATAGGGTGAGCATGTTGCAAACTAACATGCTACACTACAATGAAAATTCTGCCTTCAGTTGTCCATGATTGCTTGGCAAAATTCCAAACAAACCACATTACTCAATAGAAGATTTTTGATTACAATTATTACTAATTGTCAGTGTTGTTATTGAAAAACTATTGCAACTATCACACTCTGTGTTCCAAAGCTGATATGTTTTGTCCTTTATACATTTTTCCCCCCAAAAAATCACTGGATCCTCTGGATTACAGGATGTTAGGGAGTGGAAAAGTACATTTTGATTTCTTTGACTGTCCACTGGTACCTGCTGCATCATATCCTGTTTTGTAGCAAAAAATAATGTTATTTTATTTGTTTGTACATGATTTATTCTGAAAATGTATATCGCATTTGTTTTTGTATGCAAGAAACTTTTTTTTTTAAGCAAGCAAATTGACTATTTTATTTGATATTTGACATTTCCATCACATCTTTATTCGATGTGTCAAAATTCACATAAAATACATAGTTCCCTGGCTGTGCAGGGTCATTGGGTCCTCATATAAGCTTCGTTCATTAACATTCTTCGTCTTCTGTTTTGCCCAGAACCGGAGCACATCCACTCGTGAGAAGCGTTCCAACATCCAGTTAGGAGTGCAATATCCAGTCTGCAGTCCTGTGAGTAATATGGCACTTGAAAATGGTTTAAAAGGCAGAAAAATATTAATCAAGGTTTAATAATAAACATAAACAAATTTCACTTTGTTTTGACAAAAAACCTACAGATTCTTAGAATAAATAATACAAACAACGTTGTTTTTAAAATCGAAGAATTTGCAGTTGTTCATTGCCTACACCACAGGGTCACCACAGGGTAAACTCTATGAGGGACCACTCCCTAAAAGGTTGAAAGCAGGATTTGCTTTGTTCTTCCAAGGTGTTGTTCCTTCAGTTGCCAGCGGGTACGTTCTCATGATTCTGACACAATATACATTGATGAGCCAAAACATTATGTCCACCTACCTTAAATGCTCTTGGCAGCCAAACCCGCTCTGACCTGCCAAGGCATGGACTGAAAGATGTAAGGAGTAGCTTCCGCAGATTGGACTTGCTCCAGCTTATCCCACAAATACTTGATCTCATTGAGATCTGGGGAATTTAGAGGCAAAGGCAACACCTTGAAGTCTTCATCATAATGAAAACCATTGCAAAGAAGGACTGTAGCTGGTCCGCAATGATGTTGACATCCAACCAACAAATTGACATCCACACAAATGCCTGGACCCAGAGTTACCCAGCAATATATTGCCCAGAACTTCACACTCCCTCCACCGATTTCTTCCCATAGTGCATCCTGGTGCCATCACTTCCACAGGTAAACCATGCTCACATACCTTGCCATCCACTTGATGTAAAAGAAAACAGGATTCATCAGACCAGGTCACCATCTTCCATTGTTCTAAGGTCCAGTTCTGATGCTCGTGTGACCATTGTAAGTGCTTACGATGGTGAACAGCAGAGGGGTCAGCATGGGCACTCTGACCAGTCTGTGGTTACGCAGCAGGGTGCGTTGCACTGTGTTGTGAAACATTCCTTCAGTAACCACCATTAAAAGGTTCTGTGACTTGGGCCACAGTAGCTGTTGATTCAGACTAGATGGGATAGCCTTCGTTGCCTTCATGAACCTTGGGTGCCCACCACCCTGTTGATTCGTGGTTTGTCCCTTCGTGTACCACTGTCGGCAGGTACTCACTATTGTTGACTTGTTGCTCAGGTCTTCAAGGCTGCCCGTTCCTCCCACATACAACACGTTCACATCGCCTACGAGAACTGACTGTTTGCTTATCATCTTTGACACAAGATAATCATTATTTGCTTCATCTGTAATTGATCACAACTTTTTGGTTCATCGGCGTATATTAAACAGACACTGCATAGAAATTGTGATGTGTTTTTTAAGATTTACACTCTGGAACAACCAGTTACTGGAATTTCAAATATAATTTTGTTTCATTATTACTTTTTTGTGGTACTTGTAGAGTCTCCATAAATCTGAAGGTCAGGCAAAGGGATGGAGATGACATTGCATTCCACTTCAACCCCCGCGTGGGGACACCCTGCGTTGTCCATGACCGCTTCAAAAATGGGCAGTGGGAGAATGTAGAAATCACCTCAGGGGGTCCATTTGTGAAAGCAGAAGCCTTTGATATGTTCATGGTTGTTAAACCAGAAGAATATGAGGTACAGAGCTTGAAGAAGTAAAACGAGTGTAAGAACAATTTTAATTACACAAACATTTTTTGCTTGAATTTCTTCAGGTAACTGTGAATTTGTTTTCTGTATGTTCTGGCACCGTATGCCAGCGTGTCTGTGCTTTACATCCATGGAGACATCTTCATGAACACCTTTGGCCTCATTGAAGTAAGTAGTTTTTGTTTATTTTCCATTTGGCAACAACCCTGGATAAAAGCACATTCATTACATCATCCATTAAAATACTGTAAAATAGTGTATCATTTGTAATAGTTTTTTTTTCTTTCCACCAGGTGGACAATGTCAATATGATGGTCACCATGCCTGCCCAAATGTCAAGATCCTGATCACTTTTTTCTTTATTTGTGTCATACTCAGGCATCATAAGGATCAGAATATCCAGTAGTCATATTGTTATATAAACCTTGTTTTTTACACAATAAACCCAGATTTTCCTAATTTGAGGTTAGATTTGGCATCACAGAAGTTACCCACATTTGTCAACTTAGCTCCTGAAATTGCTTCTACATAAATTTACAAAGTGCATGTGACCCGCAGGTACTCTAAACCCGTGTGTATGGCACATATTTTGTGAGTTACCTGTACAGAAATGACTAATGGACCAGTTAGGTTCGCTCATGAAGCAAACGAACATGAAAGACATGAGACCAGATATATGGCAAATTATGTACTGTATTGGGGAAATTTCGTCAGTGCAGCAAAGATTCTTTTTTTTCTTTCAGGAATAAAATGAAATAAAATAAATAAATCAATGTACAGAATTTCCTCAAATAAAATAAACAATGTACAACTGATTCACAGTGCAAAATCACAGGTAAGAACCCTTTTTTCCCTTTTCTCTCTCTTTTTTTTCTTTATTACCCAAGTGTTACTCAGTGTTATAGATATATACTAATCACCTTTGTTGTTTATTTCAGGTTTGGTTACTCAGTCCTCAGGTAAGTATACGATTAGTGTAACCTTTTGTTCGCTATTTTAATAACTAATTGCTTTTGTTCTAGGTTCAGTTTACGTTTGGTTCTGCGGTTTGAGGTGAGTATTTGTTTTTTTTTATGCTATTTTGTTATTTATTTTTAGAGTTTAGGATTCTGTTTCCTATTTAAAGATAGAAACTAATACTTATTATTGGTTTAGCTTGGCTATTATTGGTCTAACTTTAGCTTTCCTCTGAAATACCCTTTATGTTATTTAGCTCAAAATCACCTTACTTTGAAATTGTACACTTAACCATCAACAAACACAATCCAACATTTGTCAATGACGTTAACAGTGATTTAAAAAAAAATGAAAGGAAATACAAACAGCTATCAAATAGCAAAGAATAAGTAAACGATTACTTTAAAGTGAACAGAATTGTCTCCCTTTGCTTTAAAGGTAAATGAAGTTCTTTTTTTTTTTTTAATGTATTTACTCAAGCATCAAAGTTCAAATATCAAATATCAAAAGTCAGTGAACGTAAGTGTAAACAAGAATGATTAGTGGAACAAAGTCCAGCAAAAAGGAATACTCAAACTCAAGTTTTGCTGGTGTGGTCCTTTGGCTCGCCGTCTCGTCCCCTTCGGTGCACCCGCAGCACTCAGTCGGACGATGTGAAGAATGCTCTCATAAATCAATCTTTTCCCAACCAAAAAAAACTGACCTGTTTACATGAGAACAGAGTCTGTAAACTCACATTATATTTCCAGTTTCCCATAAAAAAAATACACACACGTGGCTATAACTTTGCCACTAGTTTACACTCAAAAGCGTTAGCTTAGCCACTAGTTTACACTCAATACACTCAGGCTTAGCCTAGCTTAGTCACATGGCATTCAATAGCGTTAGCCTGGCTTAACTTAAGCTACAACGTGGTCGCAATTGCCAGCTAATTAGCACTACTCGTTCATTCTCATTTATTTTGGCAATTTTAGTCAAAAAATACATATATACAAATACATATTTCACACTCACCGAATCCAATCTGGCATGCCTGCACTCTACCGCAGGTGCAAATGAATCTCTCCCCCCGCAGCAACCCCACAGGAATGACCGCTGGAAGAGCCCAACTGTTTACGGTGAGTGACTACTTTTCCTCTCCTTTGCAGGTTTTCGAAAGTTGTAATACTCTGTTTTCAGCTATAAGCAGTTCGTTAATGGCAGTTTCTCTAGTTAGAAACACCTACTCTCGGTTTTTCTCACTTTAAGCCTACGTTGTCAAGCTGAGGACTTTCTGTGTCTCTCTCTTTTTCTTCTGGCACACAGAGAGAAATTTCTGGAAGGAGAAAAAAAAGCCTGGGCCACGCCCACTTGGCCACCGATTGGCCGAAATTCCGCGCAATGGCTTTTCCCAGGAATACTATTGACTTTCTGTGAGTAGAAGAGTTTTATTTCTTCCTTAATTGTTATTATATTTTACTTTATGTTTTATATGTATATATACATTCTTTATCTATTACTTACTTTTCAGGAAACCGTAAGTTTGTTAGCCTCTAAGAGTTTCAACTTATTACTCCATTCCACTAGTGCCTGTTGGTTATGTATAATGAATTATACTTAATAAATCATTTTTAACAATCCAATTTAATTTCTCAGCTTCACCGGTGTCTCCATGTCACTCAATCGAACCCTGGGTTACATGCACCTCTCTAAAAATTTTCAAATATAGTGTGATATTCTTTGCTTTCCTCTAATGAAAATGACACAAGTTCAGGGACAGGGTATTGATCCAGGCTTTACACTTAAAAGGTGAATCTTACTTCATCCCCCTGTTAGTATATAGCATTTTGCTAAAACTTCTTGCACTGGTTGTTTTTTTAATGATAGAGCATATATTTGCAGAAAGAATGTTTTCTCAAGATATTTTCATTTTTTACATATAAATGCATTTTTTACCAGTAAATTGGGACACTGTAAATGATATGTGACAAGGTAATAGGGAGGGGTGATAATTTCATCGCCCCCAAACAGGATATAAAAAAGGTGCTTTGTGATGATCTTTGCATTTGGTTGTCCGGAAAACCATCTTGCCACCTGAGGCTCAAAAAAAGAAGAGAGGGCCTTTTCCTCCCCTCCACAAGAACTCAGCGGCTTAAGTCTATTATTCTACTTTCTTTTATTTTAGGTTGAATACTCTTTTATTTTTGTTTATTTTTGTAAGTGATTAGACAATAGTTAGAACAAAACCACAGTACAGAATAGTTTAGATTTTAAACCTCATATGTCGGGGTTTTGGGCGAGGAGAAAAAAGCTCTTTGGTCCCGACACTCTACAGGAAACAAACCTAACAATAACATATTTCTACACATTTTTTCCCAGTATGTTAAATTCAACAGTAACTGTATATTAAAATGTACAGTAGTGTGTTGTCTTCAGAGGACTTATTTTCAATTATAAAATCAACAAAAAGCCATATTTTACATACAACTGCAGTTGCAGTTGCAGTTATCATTTTTCTTTTTTCTAAAAAAAATTGTTCAAAATATCAGCAAATATTGAATCATGGACCCAATACCAAGAATCAAATCAAACCATGGGCCAAATGTATTGTTACACCACTATTGGTAATCTTAAGTAATCTTAAATTGGTAGTAAATTTGGAGGACAGCTACAAAATATACTTCATATATTTCATCAATAAAGCTATAAATTTCATCTCTAAAATCACAGATTTCAGTACAGTGTTAGAATAAAATTTTAATTTATTTCATTGGTCATATAAACAGTGTACTGCAGATAACGTTTAGTGCACATTGTTTCAAATCTGGTTTTGAGACATTAAAATTTCAGGTTTGTGTCTCTCAACAAACATGCCTATAAGGGCTTTGGTGGGGCCTGAGACATTTTTTTTTCAGTGCTAAAAATACATGTAAAATACATCATCAAAAATTCTCTCAACCCAGTCAAACCACATTCTGCTGTTTATTTGTAATATCCCAGCCTTATGCTATGCCACCTCCAGCCACTAGGGGGAGACAACGCACCACAAAAGGGTAATTAGGGCTGAGCAGCAACAGCTGCGGGTACCCTATTTAAGGGGTGCTCACATGCTGTCTTGTGCTCAGTCTTGAGTTCATGCCGCCATGTGCACATGGCTCTTGGCCCAGCCGCTAATTATGGATAGTGGCAGCCGCACTGTAAAATTCCAGTGTAATTCACCACACTGTGGTAACAAAGTTAGCTAAAGTTTAAGAGTCTTTCTTTTCTGACTAGACATGCAGCTTCATTTACTGAACCATATTTAATCAAGACAACAGCCAATAAATAAGTAAATAAATATTAACCCTTTAACCTTAACCGAACAAGCTGGGATGCCCCTGCGTCAGAGCGATGAGGTAGGCGCCGGACAGCCGTTGTGACGTTTAACCTCTGTAATGCTTACCGATACATTCAGGAACACGGAGTGCCACATTGAAATGTGTCTGGCAGAAAACAGAGATCACTTCCAGCATCACATGTAATGCAATCAATTACACATACATCAAGATATGTAGTGTATTTTTTTGGTTCGGATTGCTTCATCCTAACGGGAGTTACAACAGAATATTCAGGGCTTCTTTCGAGTGAATCTCCCTGTATTTAATGTGTAAATAACATTATCTAACAAAACAGAAAGAGTAGCATAGATTTTTATTTAGGTTTCACAAATTTTTGAAAAAGTAAATGCTTAAATAGGAACATATAACTAAACATTAGACTTATTTTATTGTTACTCTTAAAAATGTAATTATTTTTTAACAGTGATCCAACAATGAATGAAGCCATGTGCATCTTTTACACAGTGATAAGAAACACAGTAGCTCACAGAAAGCTTGGATTCTATGCACTGATATTTGAAAACTTAATATTTTTAAAGTTTTGTGAATATTTTGGGCTTCAGATATTTTGACACAGTTCGATCTGGTGCTCTTTGAAAAAAGTCTTGACATCCCTGGTATAGAGTGTGTTTAGTCTGGGTGTTGGGAATGGGGGCTTTATTACGTAAGATGTTTAGATGGTTAGGTGGTGTGAAAATTGCCGAGCTGCTCTCTGAAAGGGTGTGACAAGGATAAATGAGGAGGTAAATCAGTTTAACTGTTTGAGTGCCGGACGGTTCTGAGTGGTCTGTGGCTGGGCTGACTAAAACCTGACACTTTCGTTTTTGTCTGTCGCACTGTCATCAATTCAGTTAGTGCCACTCAGTTAGCTTCTGTCACGAGACCACCGTACAAGGGGACTAGCCGTCAGGTTTACCCCTGTGCGTGTCTGTGTGTACAGTAAAACTGACTTTAAGTGCCATCGTTTGTGTAATGCTAATTGACTTCCACCATCATGTGTTCGTCATTAGCGTACTAGCATTACTGGTCATTACTGTGGTACTTTCTTTGTATGAATGTACTCTATGTATGTAAACCTTTGGTGCCTGGGTGTAACCTAGCCCTATTTATCAATGTGTAGGTGAAAAGGAATTTTAAACTTCTGACATGTTACAGCAGGCAGCCTACAGCAAAACATGTAGAATATACAGCACTTATATAATATAGAACAAAGCATATAAACTACACAGCAAAGCAGGTAGAATATACAGCAACCATGTTTTAATATGGAGCAAACACACAGAATGTATGAATCCTGCTCTTCATTCACTCTCTAGCTCGCTCAACCACTGCTGCTCTTTCTCTCTCTCTCGTTCGTTGTGCCGTAGGGGCTAATTTTGAATGGTGTATCAAAACAGATACTGGCAAATCCTGCTCGTTCTCCCTTTAAGGAGTCTAATGTGACAACATCTATCTCTTGCGCCTGGCTGGTTCTCACTGTTCATGTGGGGTTTAGTGAATTTAGGACAGACAGTTGAATTTTGGCACAAAGAAAAGAACTGCACAGTGCATAAACAAATCCATTATCTTAGCACACATCACAGTGTCAGCCAGCAAAGGCTTTTTCCTTTTTTGCTGCACCTACTGTGCACCGCCAGCTGCGGGTTTTTTCCTTCTATCCATGTTCAGAAACCAGTGCTAGATACTTTTAATGAGTGCTAACAAGATGTGGGAGATACTTTCAGTTGTGATGGCAACTGCTACATGCTTCCCAAAGGCCACATCTGCTACTAGGATACCCTAGGGATGCTAGCAGAACTTCATCTTTACACTCTACTAGTATAAATTAATGAAATAAAACTTTCCACGTAATTTATCATGTTTGTCATCAGTTTACTACCTCTTGACAAGTTTGCTGTTAAAGGGTGAAAAAAGGACTAGAATTAGGTAATGTCAGCTGAGGTAACCTAAGGTTACCTTTTTCTGTTCACCTGAAATTTCTCTGTGTAAATTTCAAGCCACATGTGCTCTACTATGGTTTTGTGTGGTCTCAAAAAGGCTTTCTTTTAATGTATCAATAACAAAATGTGAAGTGGCACAAAAATTAACAGTGGGCGGAGTGGCAGAATGTCACTGTGGGCAGACCTTCATTAAAAGGTATGGTTTCTAATTTTTAGACTTCTGTACGAGTATGTTGAGGCATGTTTCAATTCATCACTCTTATGACTAAAATATAGATTTATAACAAATATATTTAAAAATATACATTTCACAGTAGCTGAAAATAAGGGATTAACCTGAGCCAATAGAGAACAATCAACAACTGATCTCAGAGCAGCGCTAAAACGGAATCTAACCACAAAATGCAAGCAGTATAAAATGACTGCACAAGAATAAAAGGTTCAAGAACAAACTCATACAGAACCTGGTTGCCAGATACATTTTTGCAATAATAATGCCTGGGAAACCAGCTCACTTTGTGAGCTATGAGACTACATCTGGAGCATTAAACCTTAGAGGTCTACAGTTACTACTGTAGACCTCTAAGCAGATACAGTTCCTGAGAGCAACAAATAAATGCTGTAATGTGATATGAACTCTCACTTATAGTTCATTGAAACAAACAAAGCAATTCTGTTGAAACCTTTAACCGCCACATTTGTGTTTGTAAGTAGAGGAGGAGATATTTTATTAAGATGTGAATTTAATGGAAAGTTCTGTACTGTGCAAAATGTAAAGAAAAACAAAATGCAATGATGTGCAAATCATGTAAACCCTATATTTAATTGACAATAGAACAAAGACAACAAATCAAATGATAAAACTGAGAAACTTTATTTTTTTTTGAAAAACGTGCCCATTTTAAATTTGATGCCAACAACACGTTTCAAAAAAGTTAGGACGGGAGCTTGTTTACGGCACGTTCACCTCTTCTTTTAACAACACACTGTAAGCGTTTGGGAACTGAGGA